ACGCAGCTGCAGTTTGTTAGGTAATTTTCAGATTGCAAAGGGCCAGGCCTTTCATATGCAAAAGCCTCTGAGCACAGCTTGGGTGGGGCAGGGTCTCAGGGGATCAACAGGGTGGAGCAAGCAGCTATGGCTGATCCTCAGTCCTACCCTAAGAGGCCCAGAGTCTCAGTGTCCTGCGGTAATCACTGCAAGCGCCTCTGAGAGAAAACTGCCCTTGGGTTCTAACTGATGCCAGACAGTCCAGTTTCTCCCCACATGAATCTGGGTCCCCAGAGATTCGCCTGGAACTGGAGTTCAGAGCAATTTGGAGCTTGAGACTTCCTCCCGATTGAAAAAGACAACCGCGTCCTCAGTTGCCCGCCCTTTCCACATGCACCTCCATACCTCTGCACTTTACTTCCGTACCTCCTCTGAGTCTCAATGTGCTTTTCTCTTTCCTTCTAGTTGTAGAAATTCCACTCAGCCAGCCTTCCTGTGGTTCTGGATGATGTACGTTTTGTCTTTTAGTTGTAGTTTTGAAGTGGTTGTGCGAGGCAGCAATTTCAGGTGTTTACCTATGGCGCCATCTTGGTTTCTCTTTTCTGAAATTAAACTTTTCATACATACTTTTATCTACACGTGTCTACATAAGTAAAAACATAAACTAATTTGTCATCTTTTTAACACATTTCGTACGCTCAGGAGTTTTCTCGTGTTTCGCATGCCATCTGTTAAGGACCGCTCACGAGTGTTCTTGTTTTTCACGCCCATGGAAAAGGGAGTGAATCTAGATACTTACGTAAATTTTGTTTGGCCCCTCTTCATAGAGGAAAATGTTTTACGCAGTACCATACGTTAAAAAAGTACTAGGAACTTTAATTGTTTAATAGTTTTTGTAAATAAAAATGTTATAATTATTGAAAAACAACACCTAAAGTGCATTATGATGATTTAAATAACGTGCAGGTTGCCCAAAAACATGCGGTCCCTGTCGTATGTCTTAGAGATTTCTATGCAGTATGCAACGTGTTAATATACTCATTCAGAAAACTTACTTTATTATATAACGGACTTTCAGCTTTAAGGGACACTCCCCTGCCTGAATTAGTCTATTACTAGAGGCCCAATGCACGAAATTTGTGCAATAGTAGCCCTTCCTTCCCCCAGCTGCTGGCGCTGGCTTCCCTCTGGCACCCAGGACCCGGGCTTCCCTCTGGCTGCCAGCAGGCAACCAGAACCCGGGCTTCGCTCCAGCCCCGGCTTTGTCTGGAAGGACGTCCGAAATGACATCCAGAAGGACTTCAGATCTAATTAGCATATTATCCTTTTAGTATTATAGATACTGAAGTTTTACTGTATGCAGTTCTATTTTGACAAATGTATATGTGCATGTAACCGGTACCCTAATCAAAACTAGAACATTTGTCAGAGAAAAATAAGTATCACATGATCTCACTTATATGTGGAATCTAATGAAACAAATAAACGTGATAAAAAATAGACCTAGAGACATAGAAGCGTGGACAGATTGTTAAACCTTAGAGGGAAGGCAGGGGTAAGGGCGAGTGGAAAGAGATCAACCAATGAACTTGTATGCATATATGCATAACCCCATGGACACAGACAATGGGGCAGTGAAGGCCTGGGCAGTGGGGGAGGGGACTGGAGTAGGCTGGAAGAGGTTAATGGAGGAAAAAGGAGGACCTATGTAATACTTTTAACAATAAAGATTTTTTTTAAAAAAAAAACACAAAAAACGAGAACATTTCCATCATCCCAGAAAGTTCCCCTATGTTCCTTCCCAGTTAGTCTCCTCCACCCCTGATTCAAACAATGACTAATCTGATTTATATTAACACTAGAGGCCTGATGCACAAAATTCGTGCAAGGGGCTTGGCCCTCACAGCCCTGGCTTCGTCTGGAAGGAGGTCATTTGGCTGTCCAGTCTAATTAGTGTTGTATATATACACTGAGTGGCCAGATTATTATGACCGGCCAGATTATTATGACCACCCCATCAGTACTTCGTTGGGCCACCTTTTGCCTTCAGTACTGTGGAAATTCTTCCTAGCATTGACTCCACGAGATGTTGAAAGGTGATGTGAGGAATCTGACACCTGCCTGATGAATAGCACTGTCCAGTTCTGTGAGATTTGATGGTTGTGGAACTAGCTGCCTGATGGCTCTTTTTTTAAAAACTATATATATTTTACTGATTTTTTACAGAGAGGTAGCGGTGGGCTCTGTGTGTGTGTGTGTGTGTGTGTGTGTGTGTGTGTGTGTGTGTGTGTGTAACCTCTGGACATCCTTCCAGATGACCTTCTGAACGAAGCCAGAGCTGCAAGGGCCGAGGCAATCCACCACAGCTGCAAGGGCCAAGCCCCTTGCATGAATTTCGTGCAACAGGCCTCTAGTAATATATAAATTTAGATATAATATGTAATATACAAATTAGATATAACTGTTTTAGAACTAAATAGAATCATAGGTACTCTTGTGTCTGGCCTAATTCACTTAGCATGTTTTTGAGATTCATCCTTTTGTATCATCTATCAATAATTGGTTCCCTTTTTATCCTGAA